ATTATGGAGATAAATGTGATACAATGATATGTAGTAGCAGAGTGTATGATAATGATAATGTACATCCTGCATACTTGGTGTTATGGTACATGTACTTTTTTCTAGTTTCAGTGTTAAGAGTAATTTTATTTGCAATAATTGTACAAAATGGAAGCAAAAACGGAGGAGCAATTTTTGTGGTAATAAACTAAAAAAACAATGTAAAGAAGTGTAATAATACAAAGCAAATGGAACATTTTGTAGATAATAATAGATTAAATGCCAGAGCATACTATAAAAGACAATGTAACAGGGTCACAAGCAAAGCAAGAATTGCTTATAAAATCAGTAAAAAATATAAGCTACCTTATTCGAAGTAGTTTCATGCATTAAAAATTGGTACAATAAAAACAACGATGAAATTAATATAAAATTATTACACTATTGGCAAAAAATGTATTCCCAAAACTAAATAGTCTAAAAATGTTATGAACAAAATCTGGACCCACACTGACAAAACTCTTTGAAAATGTAGCATGAGTATAGAGACGCTATATTAAAGATAGATTTTTAAAATTTCAATTATCTGATAATGGCATGGATTAGTTAATGGTGGCACACTAATCCAGGAAATCAAAGCAGTCTAAATTAAGATTATTAGAAATGCAACTATAGTCACATATTGTACAGATTACGCTCAAATTACTCATTACGTGCACCAAATAGTGAAGCAAAGGAATATTATTGTATTAAAATTAAAGAAGCATTAAAACTGCAGGCCAGTGGATGATTTTTTGCCATCAGGTGTGATAGGTGTAAATTTTGAGAACACTTCATGTAACAAGAAACGTAATGCTGCTTCATGCATACGCAGCAAAAAATCTTATTAAGATCTTACGAGGTTAAGATATCAGGTTAGTCTTGTAAAAGTAACTGTAGATATTGCTTGAATAATATTATAGAAAATAGTTTGTTACACATGTTTATTAAATTGTATAGGACAGTTTTGGCATGATATTACGCATATTCTTACATAATATCTTTCATTACATTCTATAAGAAGTTTTGGCATTATCTTACACATGTTCTTACATGATGAGTCTATCATTAAATTGTATAAAGCCTGGTTCACAATATGACGCTAGGCCAAGGTACCGTCAATTTTTAATCAAAAGTGTGGGTGATTTGACCTTTTGATGCATGCTTTCCGCTAAAATCGATCCAGATTCAATTCCAGTGTCAACGTAATGCCAGGGTTAGCATAACATTGTGAACCAGCCTTAAGACAGTATTGGTCATATATGTTTTACATGATACATCTTTTATTAAATTGCATAAGATAGTATTGGCATGATCTTACACATGTTCTTACATGACAAAGTGATAAATGGTGTGACTTCCAAAGGAAGGAATTTGCAACAAATTGGAAAAGCATAAAATAACCACCATGCTCTATATTCAGAGGCTTTGTAAAATGATATTAAATCCAATGGACGTGGTTGCCGTTGAATCTCCTTGATTGATTTTATCTTTAAGAGCAAGGCATTTAATTTTTCTCAGACTAAAATTATGGCGGTGAAACTTGGAATCAAACCACAATTTCATTAATTGTTTAGAAATCCCCTCTAGTATTGAATGCATGTAATCTATTAATAAGCATTGTGGTAACTCAATTGTATCTGCTGGCATTGCTTTACTTTTAATGCCGTATTGCACCTGACCTGTTCTATTCGCTTTTTTTGCCAAATCCTCAAATCCTTTGTTACTACGTAAATTGTGGGCCATATCTTGGTGATAACCATAGGCACAGTTATATATCTCACCTTTGTCATAGCAATACAAACAGCCATATTCTTCATTGAACTGCTTCATGTTAAGTGCTTTTGATTTAGCTGGCAGGTAAAAAACAGCAAACAATAGCATGCGTTTTAAGGGCACAGAAGATTTGTCAACTTGAACAGGAACTCCATACATTTAAGGCTCGTAATAGATTGTAAAACTTGCCGAAGACTAATTTCCATATTTGAAAATGTAGGCCCCTGCCATAGTGCCGCTACAATTAAATTTTCAACTTTCATTTGTTGACTTGGTTTTATACTAGAAACCATGAGATAGATGCGCCAAGGACTTCCTTTACATGATTTGTAAGCTGGAACACCGTCAGAACAAAGAATTAAAGCTGTATATTCAGATTTACTGAGAAAACCTCCATTAGACATCATATTTTTATAGTAGCACCATTGTGTGTGTCATCTAAAAACTGAGATCATTGGACATTCTCAATTGAATAGCCAAAGTGATCGTGTTGCTCTATATTTAAAAAATTATTATAAATAGTACTTTTTATGTATTTATTTACAAACAGCTGTTGCAGCCTATTAGCCAGATACAATACAGCCAAATCACGCACTCCAGCTTTCTTCTTAACACAAATACTATTTTGACATTTCTTCGTATCATCACTAACACTAGCCATACAATTTGAACAGTGGCCACTAGATTGACTAGATGTCTTGGAACAGGAGCCAGAAGGAATGAAGCTAAGGACAGTGACACATCAAACGAAGGTTATTGCCCATTTCATGATTGATTCATATTTTAATTGCATTTATACATGTACATGAGGAACCTATGTCGAGTAGAGGAAGAGGTATTAAAACATTTGGAACTGGAATTAGCAAAAGAGGAAGTAATAATAATAATAATAATGAACTTTACAAAGACATTGACACAGCAATGAATAAAGATAGAATAATTTGAAAAAGAGTCTTTGAAGGACTCATTGATCAAATCAAAGAGCCTAACATAATTAACTAACTAAAATAATTACTGCAATCCTAGTTTACTACGAGTTCTAACAGCAATAGGGGGCCAGTATTTCACTTTATGATTAGCAATATGTAATCCAGGAGATCCATCTCTGGAGAGAAAACGTACTGTGGCATTCACAGGTAATCTTAGTTCCTCAGTTTCAGAATCAGAACCTTCATCGTGTTGTTTGAGGTGTGATTTTCCTCTCCTGTGCTCACGAACAGGTATCCAGCCAGCTTTACCATCAACCTCATAGTTTACTCCTGGTACACCATTACGTTCCTCAAACACAACAGAGTCACAGCTACAGAGATCAATTTTTGAAGTGGAACTCTCAGATGCAGCTATGTCACCATTGGTGTCCACGTGGTCAGAATCAGCAATGGCAGCGGTATTTTCTTGATCAAGCTTTACTGGATTATCCTTGAGTCCAGTTGAGCCTTCTCGAGACTTACGCCTTTTAAAATCCGCCAATCTTTTCTGGTTTCTCCTTATCTGAGACAGAGACTTCTTTTTCCTTTTAGCATGGCCTTGGTTATGACTGGCAACAGCAGGCACGGCCTGTCTTAGACTTTGGTCCTGAAAGTCCACTTCAGCCCTGTCTTTGTGTCAGTAAGACATTATTTTTGATAAAGGTTAGTATTCTTAAGTTAATGCAATGTATATGTTAAATGACATTATTAACAGTTGGAGTTGCTGCAACTCGTCGACAAAGTAGAGGAAGAGGAACCGATATGTCTTATAATAAAAGTTAGTATTTTAAAATCAAGATATGTACTGATTTAAGTAACATTATTAATAGTTGGAGCTATTGCAACCCGAGGAAGAGGAGCTGTTGGTAGGACATGTATTTCTGATAATAAAGATACAAGTATATTTTTATGTTATTTGTTTTTTGTGACTTGTGAATAATGCATGATCACTTATGTTTTAATTTTATAGATGAAGCAACTCCAACAAGTAAAAGAGGAACTGTGAGTAAAGGTTACTATACTTTCATTACTATAAACGTGTTGCAAGTGATTTGTTTTAACCATGGGAAATTTAGCTGTGTCTAGAGGAAGAGGAACGGTTGAAAAAAAGGTATTTCAGACATGCATAAATATTTTTAATTTTAAAGTAATATTTAATTAGTTAAAGCCATATCAAGAGTGGAAGAACAAATTATCAAAACTGAGGCAACTTGTAAAGGTATTCTTCATTTGTAAAATTTTGTAGGAAAAGATGTTTTAATTTTGTAGCGTGAGCAATACCAACCAGATTAAGTAGTGCCAGGAGTCCATTATCTGTTACAAGTACTAAAGGTTACTCATATACTTTTAATATAGCACATATTTCTTGCTTCTAACAAATTGGCACTTATACAACACGGTCTACAAGTAGAGGATCTGTTGGTACAAAGCCCGTGTCTAATAGTAAACATTAGAGTTTTTCAATTGACATGCATTAATGAAACATAAATGATATTTATTTTAGCAGTTGGAGCTAGCAGGACTAGCCTGACTGTTGATCCAGGAGGCACTAGAGGAAAAGATGTTGGTTGTACTTATGGTAACTAGTCAATTGATGAAGGTATACCGTATGGTTGGTAATTTTTGTAGAGTATTAATTTTCGTTAATTTTGCCATTCATTTTTATCCACCGAATTTTA